GAGTACGAAAGGCAACGTGAGCAAGAAAAGCTTTTCAAACGTGCTATGCGCCAAGCAAGAGGTAATTAATTTTCACGCTCACATACGATTGTTCTTGATTCGAGCTCATACTGTAGTTAATCTAGCAAGGAGACTGGATTTTACGCGCGTTATCTTATGGATGGATGCGCGATCAGCTGCGGTGAAAGTGAAGTTTGTATCTTATCTGTGTATTCCAGGCCATTCATCCAGTAGCTCCGATAGCAGAAGCTCGAGTCGGTCAAGATCTTATTCCAGTCGTTCAAGAAGCGGTTCCAGTCGCTCCAGAAGTAGTCGATCTCGTTCGTCGTCGCGATCGAGGCGATCACGTTCACGATCCAAGAGTCGGTCAAGGTTAGCTACTCAGACGATTTGAATTTCAGTGTTCCTCTACCTCTTGAGCTGTCCATTATCTGGACTCAAGACCAAATTCTTCGAAGCTTCGATGATCACAAATCAAGGATACTGTTCGCAAGAATTGGAAAAAATAAATTCTTCGTTGAATGAGTCAGAGGTTATAATGACTGACATGTACATTATTTAATTGTGGCTAAGTAGTACAATACGGTTTTCAGAGCACTTGCAATCAGAGAAATATCCGCAATTAAACATCGGAATGTGTATGATCCTCATGATTATTGGTAGCTTATGCTTGAAGGATGCCGAAGGCATCGAAATTTGATGCTAGCTGAGGTGCTCAGTTGATGGACGCGAAGAAAATAGCGTTTCAACGCTCACGCGAATAATCCATTTGCCGAACAGAATTTTCGTTACGAGCGAAATTGTCTTCACAATAGCATTACACATTTAGATTTTGCATTGAGAGAAATTCAGCATACAAATTAGGTAAAGCTTGCTAAAGCCGTAAATTTGTTGCGAATGTATCTTACTAAGGGAAAAAACGGAGAACTTCTTCCATCCACTAGGATCAGTTCGTTCGGTAAAACTGTTTTCATTAGTCCGTGTGTTCCGTTCGTGTGTAATATATGTACTGTACTGGTGAATTTTTGTGGCAGTAGGTCAAAATCGAGCCGCTCGCGGAGTAGCCGAAGTAAATCTGGAAGTCGCAGCAGGAGTCGTTCGAGGTCCAAATCAAGTCGAAGTCGCTCACGGAGTGAATCAAGAAGTCGTAGTCGTCATCGTCGGCGGAAGCACAAGCGGAAGCATCGCCGACATTCTATTCCGCCGGAGTTGTTGTTCGATGAATTTGGAAATCCCCTGCCTCCGCCATTTCCTCCTCGATATCCGCCATTACCTGGAGACTTCTTACCATATGGGGATTTTCCGCCCCCGTATTTCCACCCTCATTTCCCGCAGCAACCCTTCTTCGATCGGCCTGGATTCGGCCCAGGTTTTCGTGGTCGATTTCCTCATCCTCGAGATTTTCCTCCAGAATTCGATGATTTGCCACCAAGGCAAGTTACTTTTCTAGAATGCCGTATTTGCTTACGAGAAACTAGAATATATGGACTTTCTGCAAAGTATTTCAGGGGACCAGATAAGATTAGTTGAGACTATTTGTTTCCACTGAATCTCTACAAGAAAAAAAAAATTATACGAAGTAAATCGTTGTTGAGAGAGTCTAACTGGAATTACATCGGCTGAATCGTGAAACTCAATTGCTCTTGTTACGTTCGAAAATGTTGTTCATACTGTAACTCAAAAAAAAAAGTTTCCATGATAAATTATCAATTTTTTTCCGTGTAGGTTCGCTGCCGGGTTAGATGGTCCCATGGCCCGAAGAGGTTGGCGACATGGTCGCGGACGTAACAGTTCAGGTGAAGAAGGGCTCTCACCCGGACGCCCAGACGGGTTTGGTCGCAATGCGGATCGGAGGTCTGATTCACCGAGGGAAGGAGGTCGTGAAAGGTTTGAGCGTCGACGCAGCGACGATGAAAATGATGATCAGCAGAGACCTCGATCTTATTACGAGGTAATGCCTTTTGTCCATTTATGTAGATAATCGCGCTAAACGGTTTATGGAATGTGATTCTGTAGGTTATTCATCGTAAAACGCGATGCACTTCTCGGTCATTCGCGTGGCCGCCGTATTAACTGTTGATTCTACTGAACTGTCCTTATTGATCTCTTATAAGTCTCTCATGTGAAAAGCCATACCCTGTCTTCGGTGAAGAGTGGAAGAAACTGTCAAATATCCTGTTTTTTTCGTCACCTGCAAGTTTTCCTAATGCAGGTTATAATGGCGATAATACGGGAACTCGGAAGTGCACCGTGTAAATGCGGTGGAGCGAAGGTTACACTTCTGGCTGTTCTTTGAATCTATAGGGATGTAAATACTGCTGTTCAGCATTATAATCTTCTTGGAAGAAATTTCAGATGTGTCGGCCATGTTCTACCGTCTTTTAATTTTGAGATTCTTCGGTACGCTAGAGTAAAAAACTGGTACTCCGAATGAAGCATTCCGCTCCTCTAGTATAGGTCAAATCCACTGCGGTTGAACTTCGATAACGCTAAACTCCCTGAGTCAAATATATCCCTACGTTTAATTTATTTCTATTTTCTGTCTGTATTCCCTTACAAACAATTCATTGTTCGCCTCCAAAACGGGAAGGCTTTACTCCTCAAACCTGCAGAACTCAAATTTTCTGGAGGCCTTTTGGCCATAATTTTATTGACACAGGAAAGAGAACAGCAATGAAAAACGAAGTGAATGACTATTTGGCCTAATGCACTCTTCCCTGCTAGTTCAGCATCCTCTCAACTCATTAGAGAAGCTATTTGAGGCCTAGAATATCACCAATTACAATTTTCTGTAATTCTACCATCTGCCCCCCACAGATGCCTGTTTCCCCTAGCTCAAATTTATTTGCTGGCTCAACCTATTGAGTTTCGACTGTACAAAAAACACATTTTCTCATGATTTTCTTCGTAGATAATGTAGACAATTTCAATGCATGTGCCGATATTTCTGCGAAGTCATCATGGGATTGTTCAGATTTTCGTGGATCTTGTATATGGTGTGTTTTTGAGTCGAACGTGTGCAATCACTTGACGTGGGTCTGTGGTCTTGCTTGTCTATCCAGGGCTTGGATGAAGCGTACGAGAAATACTTCGATCGTCGCATGAGGTCATCGGAACGGGAGAGGGGTGACGAGGACGATTCCAGTCGTCGTAGAGACGATGAAAGAGAAGCATCTCGTCGTGAACGAGACCGTCGTGACCGTAGGCGCGAGCCGACTCCAGTAGCGTCCCCGCAGCGTCCACGTGGACGAGAACGTGAGCCTGAACGGGATCGAAAGCGAATGGACCGGGGTCGTGACGCTCGTGAGAAGGAGTACGAGCGGGATACAGAGCGAGATCGTGAACGCGACAGGGATCGTGAAAGAGACCGAGACCGTGAGAGAGAACGCGGACGCCGGGAGGAGCCGCAGGAACGAAAACGTGCTGACGTGCGCGGTCGCGGTCGTTCCCGAGAACGATCGCGAGAGAGAGCCAGGTACAGTACTGTATTTGAGGTGATTTGTTCATGAACATACTGTGCTTCACTTGATCATTCGAGGTTAATTTTTCAACTAACCAAGTAACATGGAGTTATATGGAATGGCCGATACGCTCCGAACCCCGATGTCTGACACGAAAAGAATTGAACAGATAAGTTTCGATCGGAAAACTATGGTAGCAGCCACGTTTACCGAAACAGCTGATTTTTTGGAGGTTGATCCTACGACGATCTGCCATTTTAAAAAAATGTCGGAGGTCGGATTCTATGTTTCTCATTCTGTTCATTTGAGGAAAATCACGTGTAGTTGAGTTAAACAAGAAAAAGTTGATTTTTCTCCAGAAGTCCAGAGAACTAATTTGAAGGTGCTACTTGCCGATATTCTTTCTGTATTGGTGACTATTTATCATTTAATTTTTGGAAGAAATCCTCGAGTTCCTGTAAACTTCTTGTGATTCATCAGTGGAGAAGTCCTTTTTCTTCAAAGTAAGAAACTAGTAGTCCTTTTAATATACGATCTGGTTTGGTAAAATTTTGCAGAACGATTTGTGAAGATGAGTAATAATTTTAGACATTCAAACAGTTGTACTTACGGTTATTTACACAAGCTCCGTCCAGCATTGAATATGCTGTTCCACCATTGAGTGAATTGTGATTGTCGAAGAAGGAAACATTCTGGGAATACGCGTTGTACAGCCTGTTCGAAAGAATAATGCTTGAAATCCTGGGTAGTGTAAAAGTCGGAACTGTGGTCCAAGAAAGAATGGAACAAATGTGAAATACATTTTCGGCCTTGGCTCGTAATGTACGGCAAATTTCCGATTAATCTCGATAAGTTGGTTCTTTGGTTTTGGTCATTCCCCATTTTCTTGAGATTTTTTTTATGATGTATAAAATCAGTTTTTCCATGCGACAATAAGGCGATTAGGGGATAGTACTTTTTTGGTAGTTACAGATTTTGTGTGACCTTTGTTTAACTTTAATAGGCACGAAGCTCAGGCTCGAAAGCAAAAAGAGGAAGAACAGCGACGTGAACGTGAACGTCGTGAAAAGGAGCGCGAACGCGAGTCTGATCGTGATCGAGACCGGAAAGCTCGGGAACGAGATCGAGAACGCGAAAAGCGAGACAAAGATTTGTCGGAGCGTTACCAACGGTTCCACTCTCAAGCGCAGAACGCACGTCGGTCGACTCGCGATGACGAGGATGAAGCCGCTCCTTCGCGAAGCGTTAAGCATTACCGCGGCAGAGATTATCGAAGCACGCGTCGGGAATCTGAAGAAGAGGACAGAGAAGAAATTGACGAAGAAGACAATGCGCCGGAGAGCTACCGTCGGGATCGTCGGCGGGAAGACAAGCGAGGATCGAGAGACGAAGACGAGGAGGAGGATCGGGAAGAATGGATGGAGAAGACGGCAGATGAGGACGATCGGAGACAAAAGAAGGGAAAGAAGAAGAAAAAGCACAAGGAGAAGGAGAAAGAGAAGGAAAAGGAGAAGGAGAAGAGCAGAAAGCGAAAACGCGAGTCATCGGGCTCTGATCAGTCCTCGAATGATTACAGTTGTTGATAGAAAATTTTCGGACAAAATTTGAGCATCTTTCTTGTGTCCCACTCTCGCCGCTTGTCGTAGAGAATCCTCGAAATCTTTCGTCCCTTATTGCTCTGATTTTTAGCAAATTTTGCGTCACTTCATCTTTCTCGTGGGTTTGTTGTATCTTTCTGTTTGAATGTTCGCTGGAACTGTCGAGGAAAATTTTTTATAATGGCGATCGCAAAATCTTTTATCTGATCTTATCCCGTAAATTTCCATTTTCGCAGGAATTTCGGTCTCAGTACTGTGAAGTGTGTGAAATTGTGCGCAAGATCGACTGTTCACCGTCTCAGTTTCAATTTCGTTTTCGTCGAAAAGACGCGCAGAATTCTTATTTGGGTCTTATTGCTTGTCTAGTATGTGGCTTAGGCATGTGTGGAAAAGAAATTCATTCTGGAGTGAAAAAATCCTGTCATGGTTTTAATTTGTCCAGTTTTTTGGAAAGAACTCAACGTTGGCATCTTCCAAAATTCGGCTTAACGCCTGATGTGGAATTGAGTGTTTGATTTTGTTGAAGTATCCTTAGTTTATGCTCGTTTCTAGCGTTCTGCTCGCTGGTTAATAGAAGTGCTAACGTTCTGTTACCTCTAAGAAACCTACAGGAAAATTCGAGAAATCAGTGCAGATGAAGCGCTGCTCGTTTCAGCCAGTTCCTTTGTCTCCAGATGAGTGAAGAACCACGCTCTGAAGAGGAACCTGGATTCATGGCCGGGTTGATAGCGGAGGCGTCGAGTCCGTTGAATTTAGTGCTCTTGGTTCTGTGCAGTTTCCTAATTTATCGACTATTGGGCTTCGGTTCGAAAAAGGATGACGAGGACTCCACTCCTCTTCCACCACGGTTACCGAGAATGAAGCGAAGAGATTTCACCGTGGAAGAGCTGAAGGAGTTTGATGGTGTCTTGAATTCTGAGGGACGCATTCTTGTCGCTGTTAACGGGAAAGTTCTTGACGTGTCCGCTGCTAAGCAGCTCTACGGACCTAGTGAGTGTGTTTCCTGTGGTGCTGTGTCGCATTGTGACCTGCTCATGGTATTTGATTTTTATTGCCGTCCCTGTGGAAGGATGTTCGATTTTTCGCATGGAATCGATCTTAATTTTGTTCTAATACAGGGGTCTCTTTTTTGCGCAACTGTTCCAGACAAGTAACAATGAAGTTTCAAGATATCCTAGTTCAAGATGTGTGCCCCCTCCAAGAATAGGCACGGATGTCTGTAATTTAAGGCCAAGATCATACGGATGAGTGGAACTAATGGAATTGTATTAAGCCTGAATAAGTTTGTTGTTTTTGTTTGATGTCTGATGGTCATCACCTTGCGCATTAATATTAGGAAGAGGTTTGCCGAGATATTTGACTGAAAAATAAGTTGCTTAAATGATCGAAAATCAGTAAGAATTCAGTAGCATGAGATTCACTTGGCCTCACAAACTTCCATTGGTGCCAGAAGTCTTCATCTGTAGCGCGCTTCGTTGGAAGTTGCATCCTTATACACGTCTTCCACTTTACTGCAGGTAGACATTCTCGATAACGATTGTCACTATACCTAACGAATTTTTGTGTGGTCCCATAGAAAAGAGTTCTTCACTCATATTTATAGTGATTCTCTATGACGAAATTCTTTCTATAATGATTTTTTTTCTGGTTCCTTGAATTTTATTTTGGAGCGAGTCCACCTGTATACGTCAAGTAACATTATTTTCGCTCTGAATTCCTGCAGACGCACCGTACTCGATATACGCTGGCAGAGATGCTTCTCGAGGATTGGCAAAATTCACGCTTGACAGTGCACCCGTGGAGTACGATGACCTCAGTGATTTAAATCCCGCAGAAATGGAATCATTACGAGAATGGGAAGCCCAGCTTACGGGTGAGTTGCATTTAATTTCGTTGCACGCGTATAAATGATGAATTGAGCACTTCATTATCATGGGAAAATTTGAAAAACAAAATCCTTTTTTTTTTTTTAAATTGTCGCCTGGAATCAAGGTGCGACCTTTTATAATGCGAGTAGTGTACGTTTACGGAAAATTACATGCCAGTAGTGTACTTCGCCGTATTTTTTTGGTTTTTTTGACGATGGAACCGTACGGTGCATTGATCAGAAGCCAAATTCTTATTTTGAGATCGGGTCTTCAGGGGAACAGATGGCGATTAACTAATTTCATGTTCAAAGTCCGATGTGCAGATGTTGGGGAAAGTAAGGTTATCTGTGTTCAGGATTTTTCTCTTATCGCACTTACATTGGAGTAACGAAAGTACTGTAGTACATACGGGGATTACAGGTCTGATTTTTCCCAACGGAGATCCGTTCATTAAATTTAAGGTAATTATTTCTCTCTTAGAACGTTACTTCTGCGTCGGAAAGCTATTGAAACCCGGCGAGAAACCAACGGAGTATTTCGACGAGGAGGATTCGCCAAACAAGTCCAAAGCTAGTTCAGCGGACACTGAATCGAAGAAAGAAGCATGAAATGCGGTATGGGTTGGAATCGTTATTCCCTGCGGTTCCATCTAGCTGTCTATTCTCGTACTTCCTTTTCTTGTATCGCGGTTGATGACAACTTGACAACGGTGCTGCTTTCCTTTCCCCAGCTGTTCCCGTTCCATTATTCGTTTTTGCGCACACGAAAAGTATCTTGGTGAGAACGCGATAAATTTCTATGCGTTGATTCCTCGCGCTGGGATTTTTTTTCATTTTGATGACGGATAAAGTTGTGATAAGTCTTCATATGGTTTCCGGGTGTGTGTGTCTGTGAGTTCGTGTCTGTGTGTGTCGGCTTACGGGGCTCTTTCTGTCGCCTGGAGAGAAGTTCATTCGCACGTCTTCCTGTACCGTTCAGTGCGGAATTTAGCGCAAATTATTTTTTTTCGTGAATGGGTTACCTGAAAATCGTCAATTGACGTGACGTTCTATGGTCGTCGCTTACTTTCGATTTGGTTTGCGATAGCGAAGTAGTTTTAATCGGTGCGAATTTCGAGGTGGGAGGTACCCGACCATGCTTACCCTCTGAGATGTAGTGTTCTTACCGCATGTATTTATTTTTTGAACTGTTCTTTTTGGGTACGGGGTGTAAGAAATCACGGTTGTGTGTCGTATGCAATCGGTCGGAAATATCATCTGAGAATTGGAAGTGTTGCCGCGGTGGCACGTTTTGAATTCTTGTTCCTGGGTCAGTTGTGCGCAGAAATGGAATGGGATATTTGATCAAAATCGTTTATTTCTCATGAATCGTGGGAATCTTGCGTCTATTTTTCATGAGCCACTTGATGCATTTTCAGGAGAATGCTGACCGGGGAATCGTTCAGAACTTTCACTCCTCAAAGCATTTTTGGGCCTCTATCGAATCCTAGGATGGGCAAATTTCGATAGGTTTGATTATATGCATTTATTCAATATACTGTACTGTGCTGATGGCTTTATCCTAGTATTGATATTACAGTATATGATTGTTACAGTAATAATGTTAGTGATATTTTTATGGAATATTTATTTGAACTAAAACACTATATCGTAATTGCCTGATTACACCCGCACCAGCCAAAAAGTCGGGCGTGCGTCGTGCTGAGGTAAAATTGTTCTCTGAAAATTTTCAAATTTGTCTCTTTTAAATGGATCATCATGTTTCATGTACTACCTACCTTATACGATGAATATAATTCGCTACAATGCTTAGGATACAGAAAAAAATCATCCATGCGAAGAAAACGGTACATGTTCAGTATTTGGGAGAACTGTTGGAACTAGTGCAGTATAAAATCCCCCCTGAGGCTGTGACAAGAAAATAATTTAAAAAATCAAAGGACAGTCAAACCTTGTTAAACTGCCCCTGGATAAACCGCCACCCTCACCTCCCACCAAAATTTTACCCCAAACAAATCTCCCCAATGTTGAAAGGATGGGGAAACCTTGATAGGCCGTCATCTGCCAACAATTTGCTGGCCACAAATAGGCACTTGCCTTTGTTTTTTACCCTGTTAAACCGCCAATGCTTCAATTTCCTGACCAAGGCTTTCCTCATACTTTTTCTTCAAATTCTTTCAATCCGTACTTTTTCTTGAAACAAGCAGCATTTTTCCTTCTTCCAAACGTACTCTTCAGAGTTTAATTTTTTCTCCATAAATCCTTGAATGTTATGGTCTGCAAGCACTCTTCAGAAACTCTTTTGACCCTCTGAATGATGTGCAGCTTTTTTTTTAAATATCGAAGTGTATTCAGATTGGCTGCAAAACATAATCATCTTCTTGCTTCCAACAAGAGATTCCTTCAAAATTTAGAATACTCCTGAAAGTTAAGCAGGGAATGTATAATTGAATTTTTTCAGACATTTGGGGCTTGTTTGACAAATTCATGGATTCCTTGTAATATTTTAAAAATTTGTATAGATATTCTTTTACTGAAATCAAACCCAGCTGATGTTTAAAATGTATCACCATGAAGCTGTCAACATGCTGCAAACATAGGAATTTACATGGATGTGCTGGGGTAATTTTTTGAAATATTGTTAGTTTATAGAAATAGATAACTCATTCTATTGGACAAATATTGAATGAATAATTTCTATTTTCAATCTTCATCAGCATACCAATTGGCAAGTCATTTTGAACCATCATTATTGTTTGATGATCATCTGGTAGGGAGACTGCTGGAAGTTGCAAATACATACAGTACTTTAATTGTCATTTGCAGAAGTGTGCATGATAGGAAGCAAGGCATTTGAAACAGCCCTTCTCTTTGTCATTTTTCCTTTTACAAATAATTTTCTTAGAAGTTGAAAAACTTATCATGGAATGCATATGAATTTTTAATTTTCCAACCATCCAGGGACAAGAAAAAATTCATCTCAGTTACAACGTAAAAAAAAGTGATCTCATTTTCTGTGATCCTTTGCTTTGTGTGCTAATGACATATTCCACCCCCCCCCCCCAAGGAACCACCACCCTCGTTAAACTGCTAAAATCTTGCTGCACAGACATTGGCGGTTTAATGGGGTTTGACTGTACTTCTTCAGACAAATTTTCTGTGCTAAGGGTCTAAACTCTGAATACCAGTTTACCAAGAGTTTGTTAACACCTGAAACTATTACAGATACTGTACACTCTCTGTACAATAACTCTTCTCTGCAACGAATTTCTCTGCATGAAGAATTTTTATTTGGTTCCTTGGGTTCTCTCACCATGTTATACTGGTTCTCTGCGACAAATTTCTCTCCACAGTTATTTTTTTCTGGTCCCTTG